TAAACAAAAGATTGACTTGGAGTGTGGAGTTTATGGAATGTTTTGGCAGTAAAAACACTCTTCTTGAATGTCTCTACTGAAGGAAAAATTTCACCAAAATCAGTGAGCAAGGGGAATACATCAAGAGTCCAAAAGGAGTCGTCGGTTTATGCAACAAATATTGAATATCTCTTATTAGGCCTTATGTTAGGCAGTAAAGAAGGAGGTAAATGAAACATTTGTGGCCCTTACAGATCCCTTGGTCTAATGGCAGTGACCAGTGACTCAGTAGCACACAGCAAGATATATACAATAGTAGAAGTCTGTACAGAATGTTCTGAAGCTAGAGAAGAGCATCCTAACTCACCTGGGGAAAGAAGTGAACTTGGGAGGCTAAAGAGAGTTTTTTAGAGGAGATACTGTAAGAGTTGATCCTTGAACGACTAGTAGAGATTAACCATTGGACAGGGTGGAAGAGCATTCTAGGCAAAGGAAAATAGCACTAGTAAGGTACAGAGCCATGAGAGAACTTGGCGTTAGGAAACTGCAAGAAATTCCATTTGGATGGGATATAATATTATGGAAATAGGCAGGAACCAGATTGTGAAGAGGCTTATAAGCCCCACAGAGAAGTTTGGGCTTTATCCTGAAGGTGGTTTTGCAAAGGGCATGATATATTTGTAATTTAGAAATATTTAGAAAATGTGACAGCATTTTAGAGAATGGATTGGTGGGAGGTGACACTCGGAGGGTGGATACCAGTTAGGAGGCAATTTTAATAGTCCAGGGTAGAAACGGTGAAGGCCTGAGGGAGTGATGGTGATCGGGATAGAAAGGAAGACCTATGGGAGAACTGAGATTTAAGAGACAGGGGCCTCCAAGTTCCTGGTGAGGGATAACTGGGTGCCCATTCGCCAGAAATTAGAAACAGCGGAACAGGTTTTTGGAGGAAAAAAGTTCTGATTTGGACATACTGAATTTGAGGTTTCTAAAATTCATCCAGATGAGGATGTCCAGTAAGTGGTTGGGGCATGGGTACAGAATTCAGGAAAAAGGATTAGACTGGGCGTATAGGTTTGAGAATTATATGTGAATAAGTGATCATTAAAACCATGACTATAGATACGATTATCGTAGGGCGATTGTGTGCAGTGAAATGAAAAGAAAGTTGAGGACAACCTAAAGGAGCAAGTGAAGAGATGAGCCCATAAAGGAAACTAAGAGTAGATCGACACTTTTAGTTATTTATGCTGTACTACATTCCATAAAGGATTCGAGGACAGAGAGGAGGGGAAAATCGGGAAGGTGGTATAATAAGAGCTGAGGATGAAGAGAGTTTTAAGAAGAGACTGGTCAATAGGATCAAGTGCCACGAAGCTGAAATACAACAATGACTAGAATACTTACTAGATTTGACAACTGAGGGATATGGGGGAGATTTCAGAGGAGAAATGAGGTATAAACCTGATTTCAGTGATTCAAGGTGTGAATGAGAGAGAGGAGATGAATTTATTGCTGATTACTTTTCTGAGAAGGTTGGCTGTGAAGAGAAAGAGGCAGCACACAGAAAGAGAGATGGTAAGCACTGAAGGAATAATTTTTTTTTTTTTTTGAGAGACAGGATCTCACTATGTTGCCCAGACTGGTCCCAAACTCCTGGGCTCAAGCGATCCTCCTGCTTCAGCCTCCCAAGTAGCTAAATTACAGGTGTGAGCCTGGCTTAATAGGATAATTTTTTAAAAAGAATCCAAGTTGTAGGCCGGGCGCAGTGGCTCATGCCTGTAATCCTAGCACTTTGGGAGGCCGAGCTGGGCAGATTGCCTGAGTTCAGGAGTTCGAGACCAGCCTGGGTAACACAGTGAAACCCCACCTCTACCAAATACAAAAAATTAGCTGAGCATGGCAGTGTGCACCTGTACTCCCAGCTACTCGGGAGGCTGTGGCAGGAGAATTGCTTGAACCTGGAAGGCGGAGGTTACAGTGAGTCGAGATTGCGCCACTTTACTCTAGCCTGGGCAACAGAGTGAGACTCCATCTCCAAAAAAAAAAAAAAAGAAAAAAAAATCCAAATTGTAGGCCATCACGCAGACTTTTTTTTTTTTTTTAGGTGTAAAAATCTGTGTTTATATTACAGTGACAGAATGACACAGTACAGCTCAACCCGATGCAGACATTTTAAACTATGGGAATCTAGCCTATGAAGAAACACTGCTCTAGATAAAATGATTTAATTGATAAGATGTAAGTTCTAATCCTGATTCTGTGCCACTTGCATATAGAGAGGGTCTAAAATAAGGATAACAACATTTAACCTCCCTCATCTCAAAGAATGATAAAGGTGAATCGAGAGATAACACTTTAAAATTAAGAGATGTAAAATGGAAAGAATCAGAGGAAAGGGGGATTCAGAAATGGCATGGATAACCTGGAGCATTTTGGGGAAGCTTCTACCACTTTTGACTTTGTAACCTCTCTACTTGAAGTCTTCTGCTCCACCCTGGAATGGCAGTGTTTGAATTTCCCTGGACTGTTTGTGTATCTGCTACTCAGTCTCTCCCCATTCCTTCCCCTTCTTTCACTATAGTACATTGTGAAGTGCCATGGCAACACACTTCTGCCCCAGTTCCTGGGGATGTACCGAGTCAGTGTGGACAATGAAGACAGCTACATGCTTGTGATGCGCAATATGTTTAGCCACCGTCTTCCTGTGCACAGGAAGTATGACCTAAAGGTAAGAAGAGGATATCTCGGACTTAGAGGGAGGCTCCTGATAGCCTGAGAATGGGGAAGACCCTGGGAGGTCTTTGGATGATTCCTTTTAAGGGAAAGAAGGCTGGGTTTGAGTACTCATCTTAGGGGCTGGGTTCTGACTGTTCTTTTAGCCACTTCTACTGACTTGGTCTTTGGGTCTCTCTGCAGGGTTCCCTAGTGTCCCGGGAAGCCAGCGATAAGGAAAAGGTGATAGTAATTTTATGTGCTAGGGTGAGGGATGAGGGATGAGGGAGGGCAGATGAGGGGAAGTTCTTAGGATGGAGAGGCCACTCTATATAGGAATAGGGATTACTAGCTATTTATTATCTTAAACCACTTAAAAGAAGAGGGGGGTAAACTTCTGTTGATCCGGGGATTGTTTGGAAGGGGCAGTGGGAGCAGCTGCTTTAACACTGGCATGGATTATTCCATATGGAAGGCTTGGGGATGGGTGAGGATGCCAGACTTGAAGAGCAAAATGTTTAACTTCCACTTCCCATTCTGGGTTATTTTATTCAAGCAGCTATTTTGCTTAAGAAGACACAGGCCGGGCAGGTGGCTCATGCATGTAATCCCAGCACTTTAGAAGGCCAAGGCAGGAGGACTGCTTGAGCCCAGGAGTTCCAGACCAGCCTAGGCAACGTAATCTCTACAAAAAACAAAAAAATTAGCTGGGCGTGGTGGCATGTGCCTGTAGTCCCAGCTACTCGGGAGGCTGAGGTGGGAGAATCACTTGAGTCCGGGAGGTTGAGGCTACAGTGAGCTGAGATCGCACCACTATCATTCCACCCTGGGCAATAGAGTGATCGAGATCCTATCTCAAAAAAAAAAAAAAAAAAAGTCAGCCTGGAGGGTCTTGACTGAAAACCATAAGCAGAGAGTAGTGGGATGTGATTGGGGATACAGCTGTAGTGACTGAGTCTGTGGAAGTCACTGGAGGTGAGAATAAACCAGGGAAGCATCACAGTGTGGAGTTAGATGAGATCTAACTGAGCTACATAGAGCCCTAGACAGAAGGTGGGATTTTGAGACCTTGGGAAAGGGATATGCTCCCAAGATGTCCCTTTACCTATTCTTAGGTTAAAGAATTGCCCACCCTTAAGGATATGGACTTTCTCAACAAGAACCAGAAAGTATATATTGGTGAAGAAGAGAAGAAAATATTTCTGGAGAAGCTAAAGAGAGATGTGGAGGTGATGATTGGGTGCTCTGGGAAATGGCTTTCCTTTTTTTGCTACCTAGAGGGTAGTTGTCTCTTTCATTCACAGTATAAGGGAGCTCCACCCCTTCCCTTTATTCTTCAGGTCCTCTGCATGTATGGGGGTTTAGTATGAGACATGAAAAACCCCTGGAGTTGACCCATGGAAGGGGTGGCTGGAATAAGCTAAAAGGATGATCTTAGATACCAGGACATGTAGGCATTAAAGGGCAGTGGTATGCCCTGCAACCTTAATTTTTACACTTCCTTTCTCCAGGAGGGCCCCAGAAATTCAAAGGTACAGGTACGGGGTGATACCTAGCAGTGAAGAGTGAGAGAGAGGTGTCTGATTTGTCAGTGGGTCTCAGTTTCTAGTGCAGCTGAAGATCATGGACTACAGCCTTCTGCTGGGCATCCACGACATCATTCGGGGCTCTGAACCAGAGGAGGAAGGGCCCGTGCGGGAGGATGAGTCAGAGGTGGATGGGGACTGCAGCCTGACTGGACCTCCTGCTCTGGTGGGCTCCTATGGCACCTCCCCAGAGGGTATCGGAGGCTACATCCATTCCCATCGGCCCCTGGGTCCAGGAGAGTTTGAGTCCTTCATTGATGTCTATGCCATCCGGAGTGCTGAAGGTGAGAGAACCGGGACAATTTAAGGGTGGAGAGGGGATTGTTCCTGAAGGACAGAGACCAGAGTGGTGGGGGAGAGCCTGATGAGCTTTTCAGAACAAAACTGACTGGTTCCTGGAGAAAGGGAATTGGAACTAAACCTGCTCTGAATCGTTGGTCTCTCTCCCAGGAGCCCCCCAGAAGGAGGTCTATTTCATGGGCCTCATTGATATCCTTACACAGTATGATGCCAAGAAGAAAGCAGCTCATGCAGCCAAAACTGTCAAGCATGGGGTGAGAGTTCCCACAAGCCTTTCCTTTCCTGTCTTGACTATTTGGGAAGAGACAGCCTCTGTGCCAGAGCAATGGGGTGGCAAAAGAATGGAAGTGGTCTGGGGTAGATTGGGTGGGGGTGATGGGGACGGGTGCTAGGGTGGCCTGACACATTGTTCCATATCTTCTCTCACAGGCTGGGGCAGAGATCTCTACTGTCCATCCAGAGCAGTATGCTAAGCGATTCCTGGATTTTATTACCAACATCTTTGCCTAAGAGACTGCCTGATTCTCTCTGATGTTCAAGGTGGTGGAGTTCTGAGACGCTTGGGGGAATTGTGGATATTCTAGCCACCACTTCTCTTATTTATTCCTTTGCTAAATTCAGGCTGCAGGCTCCTTCCATCCAGATAACTCCATCCTGTTGAGTAGGCTGTTTCTGACCCTCAGAAATACATTGTCCCTTTTCCCCCTGTGCCCATTTTTCTTCCCTCTCCCTCCCCACAAGAAGTCTGCTTGTAGTATTAGAATGTCATTGTTGACTCTCTCCCAAGTGCCTTGATCTTTGTAATATCTCCTGTTGTTTCTATGATATAGGAGCTAGGGGAAGGGGGTTGTTTGTCATCTTCAGGACCTGACTGGACAGATGGACCTGGCTCAAGCAACTACTCTGGATGCATGTTGCTGTGTGGGATGAATTAAAAGTGTCTGAATTTTGCTGATAACTTTATAGAACTCACTATGGCATGCTTCCCTCCTGGTGGGCCCTAGGATGGATGACAGTCAGGATACTACAGATGTGGGTGCAGGCATGCACACACACGATGGAATATGGCCAGTCCTACCCAGGTGGGGTAAAGAGTGGGTCAGCAACCTGGCACCTCACAGAGGTGGGACCTAAGAGAACTCTTGTGATTATGCAGAGAATTGGATTGGGTCTCTGTCAAAGATTGAGTAATCTCTTCCCTCACCTCAATTCCATCTCCACTCATCTCTACATCTGGGCACAGGAGCCCAGAGATGGCCAAAATCATTCAAGCCTGGGGGAAGGTGTTTGACTACTGCTGCTCTTCACCAGAACCTCACACCTCTCCTGGGACTGGAACCCTTCAGTGGGTTTGTGGCCAGTTTTGGAGGCTGGGATGATGGGCCAGGGTGTAAGATTCATTCTCCATGTTAAATTTCCTTTCATCCTGCCTAGCCATCCCCAAGGTTTATTTCCAGAAGAAAGGAATATCTCTACTTGGATCAGTTCTGGTCATTTCAAGAGGATGGAGGCCTCAAGTGTGGGAACTTCCCCTACTCCCTGGATGTGTGTGCCTAGCACACTTCCTTCTCCCTCCCCTTTTTTCCAGTTGGATTTGTTTTTCTGTTCTCTTCTGTCCTGTCTTATACTGCAACTGTGTCTCCTAGGGGACAGATGGCCTTCTTTGTCATCTTCACTCTCCACCCCCAGAGAGGAGTCAGAGCCATAACTCAATCACTCAGCCCCTCCAAAGATAGTTGAGTTGATGTGTGATATTCTCATAATGTTGAGAACCCTGATGAGATATATTATCTTCCCCTCGCTACAATGCCTCTGGGGCCAAGGCACCCATTCTTCTTGGTATCCTCCATCCCTCTTGAGGCTTCCACTTTTTTTTTTTTTTAAACATAAAGGTGGGCACCAGCAACTGGCCTGTGGTGATGCAAAGCTGCTTTGCTCTGTATCTGGCTGGACTGATCTGTCTCACAAGAAGCCATGAGGCCATAGGGAGAAGCTCTCTCTCCCCTTCATCTTCTGCTCCAAAGGTGGTAACAAGAGGCGTACCCATTGGGGTTGGAGCCCCCTTATAACATCTTCCTGTCAGAAGACTGATCGATCTTTTTCATTCCAACCATCTCCCTTTCCCCCGATGAATGCAATAAAACTCGGACACCAGCAACCGTTGTTCTTTAGAAATGGGTTTTCTGATCGCATGGCTGATGTATTATGGGCAGTATGGATGTCTTCATTTGTTGCTTCTGTTTTTCATCTTTTTTTGTTTTATTAATAAAAAATTGTGTATTTGCTCCCATTACTATCATAATACAGGGAATAAATTATTCAATCCAAATTCCTGTACAGAAATTTTTATTTTTTTATTTTATTTTATTTTTTTTAAATTTCACTTCTCTGAGGAAGCCTGTGCTTAAGGGTGCAGAGACCAGCTGAAGAATTCTGGTGTTCAAGGTGTTGGGCCCCTAACTAAGGATGTGGGTTTCTAGACAGATGGCTGGGAACGTTTTTTAAAAAGCTGTGAAGGGTGTGCACTGGAATGGAAAACTTAGTCTTCAACTTCGTGGGAGGTCAGAGGTAGTGAGGGCCAGGGAAGGGTAGGGTGATGGGACCCTTCCTCTTCCCTGAGTTCTGGGCTTGCTAACACTCCATCTTTGTAAAGGTGAGTAGGCCTCTCAGCCCACCAGCTAAAAGAAACGGAATCCAGTATTCCCCCAGGCTTCCTGGGAAAGCTGTCTTCTTCCTGGAGGGAAGGAAGGGTACAGCAGAGTCCTGGGAAAGTGAAGAAAGTGACCAGCCCTCCAGGCTAGAGGGGGAGTGAAAAAGGGGTGGATGAATAGAAGTTGTTGCCAGTTTGGGAGATTCCTGTCTTGGCTGAGGAAGTCTTTTGGCTGGTGGAAAAACCTGGCTTGATGTGGCCCTAGGGAAGTGAGTTGAATTGGGCAGAGACTGCTTGATGTGGGAAGCAGAGCAGAGCTTTTTTTTTTTTCCTGAGAGTTTTTAACTCTATTTGAACCATACATACTTGACACTACCACCACCTCAAGCCATTTTTTAAAAAATGTATTCGTTTCCCATTCTGCACCAGCCTCCATATCCCTGTTTGTGGAAAGAGAAAAATCAGAGGCACTTACCAACGACCAACTGAGAGCAGGTTGTGGGGGTCATAGGAGGTAACAATCTAGAAAGAGGCAGATGAGGGAGGGGATTGAAATAGTTTAGTACCCGGATTTGTTTATTTTTTAAAACCAATGCTTTTTTTTACTATGACTCTTCCCATCCCACATTGTTCCTCAAAGGCCCTTCTACCATAAGGATTCAAAAAATTGCCGCCCTCCCCCCCGAATCCCCATATACCCACCAACACTTCACCCACCCATCCACCACCAGCTCCCCGGAGCTGCTACGCAGCTGGCTGGGAAAGAAAAGGGAGAGTGCTCCGCCGGGAGCGGGGAGCGAGAAGGGTGGCGTCTCCAGGGATTTAACCTCCTACCCTCAGTTCCATGACGCCACCCCCTCCCTCCAAAGACTGGAACAGCGCCTCCATTTTTGTTTTGGGGAGGAAGGGCAGGGGCTTGCGGATAGAAGGGGGTCAAAGGAACGGTGATTATCACCTGTGAGGGGAAAGAGGGTGCTGTCCTCCCTCCTTCCCTTTCCCTCAGCCTGCACCCCCTGCAACCCCCAACCTTTCGGGGTCTCCCCCCCTCCTTGTTGCTAAGGCCCGGACCGTCATCCCAGCAACAGCCTCAGTCATGTGACCGGCAATGGCGGCGCTGACGAGAGGTAGGTGAGCCCGGCGCCCCCCACACCCACCGCGCGCCCCCCAGGCCCCGCTCGCACCCCTCACACGCCCCTCGCTCCCCCGGCGCCCCCTCCTTCACCTCCCCTCCCCGCGCGCGGCTCCGGGTTCCCCGCTCCGTGCCCGGCCGATCATCTTTCTAGCACCCTCCAGCCTTGGCCTCCATTCGGGGGTTCTGAGGGCTGCGATCGGGGCCGACATGCATCCCCGCCCGGCAATGGGGATCCGGGGGCTTTGGCGAGTGAGGGATGTGGGGAGTTGGTTCCGGGTCGGGTCTTGGAGGAGGCCGTGGGGGTAGGGCGGGAGCTGCCTCAGTGGATGCCCCCAGGGACCCTTGCCCTTCCGGGCTGTCCCTCCCTCTGGCCTCTATCTAGAGGGAGAGACTGTCCCTTGTCCGGCCTGGGTTCCCACAGAGGAATCACAGACCCACCCTAAACTGTGGCCCCGCCTCCCTTTTCTGTGCCAGCAGGACTTGGAGCTAGGACACCTAGGTCCTGGGTCCCCTGTGATGGGGAGGGGGGTGTTGCAGCGCAGATACACTGTATGGGCTGAGACTCTAGGGTTCCATTTTCACTTTATGAATCTCGAGGTGCATCTGGCCTTGGGGGACGATGATGGAGGCATGAAGGGACAGCTGCTCCTTTTTGGATCAGTCATTGAATGGAGGTCACACTAATGGCCCTTCTTTCTGTTTGAGCTGCATTTGGAAGTGTTGTGGGTACAGCCTGGTAGCCCAATGCGACCAGACTCAGGGGAAACATCAGGCCCCTCCAGCTGAGCCCTTGTGTGAGCCCCGCCCCTCCCTAAATGCCAGACTTAGGAGCTGACAGACAGCCCTGCCTGTGCTGGGTTTAAAAGGTGACAATGAGAACTTTGTTATTGCAGGGGCTGCTGCCACTTTGTTCACATCCTTAACAGACTTCAGCAGAAGGGACTGAGTTAGCTCTCAAGGAAGGCTCCCTGGCAATAGGGGCTGAATTATTTGGGAACGTGGAGCAGGGCGAGGAGTTGGAGAGCATAGGAAATATTCCGGTCCATGTGATCTGAGGGAGGTGGCAAGAAGACCTCCACCTGTGTGGGCGTTTTCTTTCCTGACATCTTTTATGTGTGCCCTAGGCTTTCTTGGGGGCCTCAGAGCTGGGGAAGAAAGGAGGAAGGTTAGCATGTTCCTTCTTGAGCAACTTGGGGAGAAGCTGATGATGGAATTCTGCAGAGGAGAGAGGAGATGGAAGTGGAGTTTTTATTTCTGGGTTGGCTGAGGGAAATGGTAACATTTGCCATCATAACTTTTTACCCTTCCCCTATTCCCAGTCCTGGTCAGCTGAGTGGAAATAGAAGGATTTCTGCTGCCATCATCTTCCATGGGCTTCCCAGGTATCTCCCCCACAAGGGATCCTCAATTTTCACCCTTAAGCTGGTTTCCTTCATTCCATGTTACCATTCTCAGTAACCTATACCCAGGTTTCTGTCTCTGTTCCATGGGCTGCTGGGTTGGGGGCCATGGGAATTGGGAGAAGGGGTTTCTCACTTTCCTTCCTTTTTTTCCGCCCTACCAGCTCACACGACCTACAAGTAGGGAGCAGGGAAAAAAGAGTGAGCCTGCATGCCAATTCTAAGCTCTTCAGGATCAAAGTAAGCAAAAAGGAGGGGCAAAAAGGAGGGACAAAAAGTCTCCCTCCCCTTTAAAGAGCCCATTTTCCCCCCAGAAGTGGGAGGGGCAAATTGTTTCTATGATCTGGGAGAAATGACAGGAGAAACAAGACTGATACTTGGCTTAGATGATAATACAGCTCTGGAAACTTTTTTGCTCTTCAGTGGGCGCTGGGTTTGGAAGATAAGGGGAGAGAGAATATGAATTTGGGGGAAGGGTTGGGGATTAGGCTTTGAGAAAACAGAGGTAATAGAGGGTTTGGAAGGAACCTGAAGTAGGAGGCACTGATACTTGTCAAATGGGGACCCCCCACCCTGAGTCCCTTTCACCCTGGGGGCAGTGTCGTTCGTCCTGTCCAGAATGGCAGCCTGTGGAGGCACCTGCAAGAACAAAGTGACTGTCTCCAAGCCTGTGTGGGACTTCCTGAGCAAAGAGACCCCAGCCCGGCTGGCCCGGCTTCGGGAGGAGCATCGTGTGTCCATCCTCATAGATGGCGAGACTTCTGACATCTATGTTCTCCAGCTTTCCCCACAGGGCCCTCCCCCGGCCCCTCCCAATGGGCTCTACCTAGCCCGGAAGGCTCTTAAGGGGCTGCTAAAAGAGGCAGAGAAAGAGCTGAAGAAAGCTCAGAGGCAGGGGGAGCTGATGGGCTGCCTGGCTCTGGGGGGTGGAGGGGAGCACCCTGAGATGCACCGCGCAGGCCCACCCCCTCTCCGAGCAGCCCCACTTCTGCCCCCAGGGGCTCGGGGGCTCCCCCCTCCTCCTCCCCCCCTGCCCCCACCTCTTCCTCCTCGCCTTCGGGAGGAGGCAGAAGAGCAGGAGAGCACCTGCCCCATCTGTCTGGGGGAGATCCAGAATGCCAAGACATTGGAGAAGTGCCGGCATTCATTCTGCGAGGGCTGCATCACCCGGGCTCTGCAGGTGAAAAAGGCCTGCCCCATGTGCGGCCGCTTCTATGGGCAGCTGGTGGGCAACCAGCCCCAGAATGGGCGGATGCTGGTCTCTAAGGACGCCACCCTCCTACTACCCAGCTATGAGAAGTATGGCACCATTGTCATCCAGTACGTCTTCCCGCCCGGTGTCCAGGGGGTAAGAAGACCACGGCCCGCCCTTACCCTTTGGCTCTCCCCAGGCTCTGACCTAGGAAAACCGGGTGAGGGTGAGTGTGCTTGTTAGATGTGAGACAGTCTTGCTGTCTTCCACTATGCCCTCTTACTCAGTGCCCTAGACCTAGGAGGTCCCTGTGAGGCCCAGCTTTTCCATCCCTGTGATCCCAAGGCACATGTGAAAATCAGATATGAGCTAGGAAAAAAAAGCAAGTCAGATACGAGAGAAAGGAATTGCATATTACTTCCTTGATGAACACAAATACTGTGCTGACATCTTGGCAGAGGTAAATTCTGTGGAGGTGGTGGCTTAGGGGCAGGGAGGCACAATAGGAAGGGATCTGACCAACCCAACAGAGCCAGGAGCATCACTCGGTAAAAACGGGAGTGGTCAAGGCCTATAGGTGTCTTCCTGCTGGACAAAGAGTAATGTACAATTCTGGCTGCAGAGGGTTGAAGAAGCTGCAGAGAAGACTGATGGAAAATGGAACAGGTTAGACAGTGGCAGAAACATTAGGAATATTTTCAGGTTAAGGGAAGGCTGAAAGATAGATTATTCTGTCTTCACATTTCTGCTGAGTTGTCTGGAGTATAGGGACCAGCTACCTTCCATCACTTCTGAGAATCCATTTGTTGCTGAATGGAGACTTGAGGGATTGAGACAGCAGAAAAAACCTCTTAACACGTAAAGATTATGCTCTGAAACAGGCTCTTGCTGCCGAGGCCATATAATCTCTCCTTCTGTGGAAAGCTGTCAGCCTGTTGCTGCCCTATCCGCATTAGCTGGGGATGCTCAGACAGAGACTGGCCTGGATGATGCTTCACTGGCATCTGGGCCTTAGGATGCCTGGCTGCTCACTGCCCACTCTGCTTCACCTTCCTCCTAGGCTGAACACCCAAACCCAGGAGTTCGGTATCCTGGCACCACACGGGTGGCCTACCTCCCGGACTGCCCTGAGGGCAACAAGGTGCTGACCCTGTTCCGCAAGGCGTTTGACCAGCGTCTCACCTTCACTATCGGCACGTCCATGACCACAGGGAGACCGAATGTCATCACCTGGAATGACATCCACCACAAGACCAGCTGCACAGGGGGACCCCAGCTGTGCGACCCCTCTTCATTTCCTTTCCCTTGGCTCCTCCCCTTTCCTCCATTTCCACTGAGGGACCCACCAACCCCTTGCTCTGGGAGCCTCCTAACTGGAGAAGACCACTTCCAAACTGTTCAGCCGTCTCAGTTTCTCCTACATTCAACCTGGTCCTGGTGTGCCCAGCTTAGCCTACAAAAATAAGCAGAACTGGGCTAAGTTATCTTGGGTTTGGAGGTGTCCTCCCTTAGGGGAGGTGGGGAGGTATCTGAGTCACCTAGAATAAGGGTGAGCATGGGGATAATAGCAAGTTCCAACAGCTAACAACCCTCACCCTCATTTCTCTTTGCTCCCAGGTTTGGGTACCCAGACCCTACCTACCTGACCCGGGTGCAAGAGGAGCTGAGAGCGAAGGGTATCACAGATGACTGAAGGACATCGCCTTTGCCAAGGCCCCTGCTGTCCACCTCTACTAGGACCCAGCAGAAGCCTCTTTCTCCTCTCTGCCCCCCGCCCCCCACAACACACCTGTAGGGGACCTGTCTGACTGGGAAGGGCGTTCTGAGAGGGAGGGGGCAATCCCTTCCCCCATCCCCCACCGGCCAAGTGTTTCAATGCAGTGTGAGCCACTCCCTTCTGGCAGAGGCCGACCTCCAAGGCTCTGTTCTCCGCTCCCGGTGTACATATACTCCCGGTTTCCCTGCCCCTCCAATGCCCTTGGCTTTTTCTGGTGTGCTGTGCTCCATGACCAAGCCGAGAAAGGACCTAGGGTGGGGAAGGGAGGGTCTCTTGATTCCCAACTGCCCCCACATACTGCTTCACCGCTGAACTTAGGGTGCTGGAGAGGAGGAATTGGGCTGATATGAGCTCCCCACCACCCCTCATGGAGCCGGCTGTGTGTGTTCATCAGATACAGTTCTCCCTTAACCTTGTCCTTTCTTTCCTGTGTCCCAGTCTCCGTCAGTCTGTCTTTCTCCGCTCTTCTCTGACCCCTGTGAGGAACCTCCTTACCCTGTTCTGGAATCGCTGCCAGACTGTAGCTTTTAATTTAATAAAAATAAAGTAAAATATGCAACTCTTCATGCCACACCCGTTCTTTTCCAGGGACTGGGTGGGGGTGGGGTGGGGAGAGGGACCTGCTGGAAAGGGGAGAGGGGGTGATAGGGAGATCCCTGTGTGCCCTCCCAGTCCCTCTGCCCCCTGAGGACCTGGGGAATGGGATGCACCAGCGGGCTTTGTAGTAATACTGCGAAACCCTGGGCCACACTTCGATGTTGGAATTAGTATTAAGAGGGTGTTTTTTTGTTGTTCAACCATCGTTGTAGAGAAAAGAACAACCCTACCCCCTTTGCGAAGTTTGGCTGGGGTGGGAGTGGGGGCGGAGCCGGGCAGGGGGCGGATTCCACAGCAGCAACTCCCTGGACGAGAGCAGGCCTCAAAGCCCCCCAGCTTCCGTGTCCCCTCGACCCTGAAACGTGGAGCTGGGTGGGGGTTCAGTATGAAGCCCCCGGACCGCCCCGCCCCTGGCCGCACTGACCGGATACTGGGGGTCATGGGGAGCATGCTGCGCGCATGCGCCCTCCCCGGGCAGGAGGGGGTAAGAATGGGGGCCCGCGGTGGGGTCGGGGGTCTTTCGGGGCCCTCAGGAGGGCTGCACCCACAACTCAATTTATCCGAAAACGAGTTCTGCGGGGCAGTCGCAGGAATACATGAGTTCCATTACGAGGGCCTTAGCCCCGTTATGGGCGACCTTTTTATAATAATGTAGATTTTGACAGGTGGGAGAAGGGGAAAGGGGAGGTCAGGGCTGCCTAGGAAGGGGGGTTCCTTACAGTGGTTCTGTCCCCGCAGCCCCCGAAGAGAAGCCCCCTAGGGTCGGGGGATACCGAGCCAGAGTCTGAACGTACGGAGGGAGATCACAGAAGGGACCGCGAAGATGAGGTCCTCGCCTGGGCTCTGCAGCCCGGTAAGAAGCTGGGGGTGGGGTGGGGCAGTTTGCTATCCTGCGCCAAGTGGCGAATTCAAAAATATTCTGCTTTTATTAGCATAAAGTTCGCATCTAATTTGCATGAGACCCATTTAATCGCAGAGACCTCCACTCTTCTCGCCCTCGAGTCCAATGTGTGTCCCCCATCCCAGCCGGTACCGAGCCCCCGCAGGCAGTGTCCCCGCGCCCCACCCCTGGCCCCTCGCCAGCCCGGGCTCCAGGACTTCGCCTTAATTGGCGATTAGTCTTAGCTGGAGTCCCGGGGCCTGGAGGAAAGAAGGGTTCTGAGAGAGGGCGGCATCTGGGTTGTGTTCACCCACAAAAGGCTCCCCATACACGCACCCCGTACCGGGGGTCCTCTGTCCACGCGGCCGGGGACAACCCCAAACCCAGAACATCTTCGCACAGGCCAAGGCCCCATCCACCGAGTGCTCCTTCCCCTCAGAGGCCAAGGGAAGACCTGGGCAGACCCTGCCGACAGGCTGAACCCCGACCCCAGCGCTCCAAAGAGCCCGCGATGCGGGAGGGAGGGGGACCCCGGGGCGGGGGAGCCCAGGCTGGAGAGGGAAAAAAGCGCTGGGGACGTGGAGTGGGAACGTGGTGGTTCCTGGGGGAGGGGCGATCCGGGCGGGAACCCGGCGCAGGCAGGAGGGGGAACGCGATGGAGAGGGCGGAGCTGGGCCGCAGAGGCCCCGCCCCGTGGCGGCCCCGCGGCCAGGCCTGTTATTCAGCTCGCCGCTCCGCTGGGACCCGCACAGCGCCAGTAGCTCGGGGGTCGGCTCTCGCCTCCTCCCCGGCCCGGGCCTAGAGCCACCCCCAACCAGAGGCCGGAGACAGCTGGAGCCGCTGCCGCATCCCGGCCCAGCCTCCCCTACCATCCCTCCCACTTCCACTGGACATCTGGACCCTGGGCCCCCGCACCGACAGGGTTCCGGAAACCCTCCCCGCCCAGCCCGGCGGCCGGGCCCTGCGCCTCCCTCTCTCTAGAGACCCCCAGCCCGCCTCAAGACTAGACTTCCGCCTACCCCTGGACACCTCCACCCGGTCCCCTCCCTCCCCCACTCCCACAGCCTGGACCGGGGTAGGAGGGAGGGGGGGTGTGCGCCCAGCGCCGTCCCCGCCCCGCCCCCCGTGATTCCCCCTGCATGGCCGGCCCGGGTGGGGGACGCGGGGGGGCCCGGGCGCCATGCGGGGGGGGCACAAAGGGGGTCGCTGTGCCTGTCCCCGTGTGATCCGAAAAGTGCTGGCAAAATGCGGCTGCTGCTTCGCCCGGGGGGGACGTGGTGAGTGCCAGGTCGAAAGGGCCCAGTGTTGAGTGGGGGGCGGGCTGGGGGTTCAGGGCATCTGTTTGCCCTGGCCCTTGGGATTTAGGGTTGGAGACTGTATGCGTTTTCCAGCAAAGTGGTTTCTTAAGTGATCCCTAAGGTCCCTTCTGCCTCCAAATTTATGTTAGTTCAAGTTATGGAAATTGGGGAAGGGGCAGGGAACTCATCTCTTTCCCTTAGTCAAATGGGTTTGAGAAAAATCCATCCACAATCCCCTTAGGCCTAGAACCGATTATCTTTCCTCAAACCTTTTGCTAAGAATCTACTTCTGAAGAGGGACAGGGGAATGGAGGAATGAGAATGAGGTGGTTCTACAAGGGGCTTTATAAGGAATCACAGCTCTTCTGTCCCTGAGCCCAGGCCATAGATAACCCTGATGGACCCTCCTCACTGGCCTCCTCTATTGGGTCTACGCATGTGTTGGGGAGGTGGGCTGCAGAAGTCTTTTCTTTTTATAGTGATTACTGCAATTGGTGGAGGAGGGGACTGGGAGTGGCAGATGGACCCAGCTCATCCTCCCCCCTTCCCAGAGAATGGTCTGTACCCATTGAAAGGGGGAGGGTTGTAGGAGAGCAGATGGCCACCCCCAGCTTCCAGTGTCTGCCCAGATGGCTGCCCCCACCCCCATATCTATGCTATGCTCAGGATATGGGGAACCTCCACATGTAACTGGGGGTTCCAGGTCTGGAGAGCCAGGTGTTTACCTTACTGTGCTTTCTCCCAGGGGTGCCCTGGTGAAATTTTCTATCCTGGGGGCAACTCAAATGAGGATGGCAAGAGAGTGAGCCCTTGGAGAGAGAGGCTGAGCATCATGGAGAGAAGACCCTGGGAGTTCCCTGGGGACCCTGAGTCTGGAGCTGGGACAAGGTCTATCACCTCCTCTCTTTTTCCTCCCATTAGAATCCTATTCCATTGCTGGCAGTGAGGGGAGTATATCAGCTTCTGCTGCCTCCGGTCTGGCTGCCCCCTCTGGCCCCAGCTCTGGCCTCAGCTCTGGCCCCTGTTCCCCAGGCCCCCCAGGGCCCGTCAGTGGCCTGAGGAGATGGTTGGATCATTCCAAACATTGTCTCAGTGTGGAAACTGAGGCAGACAGTCGTCAGGCGGGACCATATGAGGTGAGCAGGGAATGGCACCAAAGCATGTGGGGACATCTATGAAGGACACTGGCAGAGAGGGCAGGTTGGGGCCACCCAGCTACTGTCCCTGACCTCTGACACTTGATTTCTGGCCCCCAGAACTGGATGTTGGAGCCAGCTCTAGCCACAGGAGAGGAGTTGCCGGAACTGACCTTGCTGACCACATTGTTGGACGGCCCTGGAGATAAGACGCAGGTGTGAGGACAGGCTCTGGGGAGGCTCCTTTCACTCAAGGGGCATTCATTTGCTCACCCTAGGATGTTCTTTCCTTCCAGCCACCTGAAGAGGAGGCTTTGTCCCAAGCCCCTGAGAGTGAGGCGGAACAGAAGAAGGCGGCTCTGGAAAGGAGTATGTAAGTGTCCACAGCCCTTCCCTGCAGTTGCACAACTTCCAGAAGACTGTCCCTCACATTTTAGATGGAATTTCCTCCAAGGTTGGCTATGATGATGAAGGGGAGGAGGGAGGAACGGGTTGAACCAAGGATGAGCTCCGACACTGAAGTGGGGGCCTCCTCCTGCTTTCATCCTAGGTACGTCCTGAGTGAACTGGTAGAAACAGAGAAAATGTACGTGGATGACTTGGGGCAGATTGTGGAGGTAGCTCCCTTTACCCCTTCCCAGCCCCTTCTGCCTGCCTTTCCATCTGCCCAGGGCTATTTTCAGGAGGTGCCTGGGTGCTCCTCTGTCTCACCTCTCAAGTCTCCCCACTCCTGGACCTTTCTACTCTGGGGGCAGGGCGGCTCCCACCAGGGAGGGGGAGGTGGAACACACCCTGGATATGTGTACAGGAGCACCATTAAGGTGGGGAGGGGGCCACCACATGCTCATGACCCAATCTCAACTTTCCCACAGGGTTACATGGCCACCATGGCTGCTCAGGGGGTCCCCGAAAGTCTTCGAGGCCGTGACAGGATTGTGTTTGGGAACATCCAGCAAATCTATGAGTGGCACCGAGAGTGAGTGGTGGAACCCTGACAGCTAGTTGCTGGGGAGGGGCCCTCATCTGGTTGTCCCTGTATCCCAATATCAGCCCACTGCGACTTAAGGAATGTTTGGAAAGTTTTGTAGGGCACACTACCAGGCAGACAGCTCGAAATTGCAGGGAGTGGGCGAGGTGGGGGTTCTGAAATGTATTTGACCTGCCCTTCTCTACCAACCCCTCCAGCTATTTCTTGCAAGAGCTACAGCGGTGTTTGAAAGATCCTGATTGGCTGGCTCAGCTATTCATCAAACACGTGAGGCTTGAGGGGGCGGGGCCGGGGCGGGGCTTAGGAATGGGCTGGGATTCTCTGGAGATGTGTCCTCCCTCCTTGCCCACCCTACTCTCTCTTAAACATTACCCCTGTTAGGAGCGCCGGCTGCATATGTATGTGGTGTACTGTCAGAATAAGCCCAAGTCAGAGCATGTGGTGTCAGAGTTTGGGGACAGCTACTTTGAGGTCAGTGGCTAAGATGTCTTGGTGGGAAGGAGGACAGAACTGGGACTTTCCAGGCTGCATAACCACCCTGTCCCTGTCCCCAGGAGCTCCGGCAGCAGCTGGGGCACCGCCTGCAGCTGAACGACCTCCTCATCAAACCTGTGCAGCGGATCATGAAATACCAGCTGCTGCTCAAGGTCAGGACCCCCTTTTTCCTGGGGGCACAGCTGGCTGGCACAGCCGTTTCATCATTCATCACCCCAGGGTTCTTAAGGCTTCCCCAGCCTTCCTGAGGGCCCTCACTGGTGTCCTCAGGGGAGGATGTGAGAGCTTCTAAGGGTATCCTCACGACCTCCCTGAGCATTTCTTCTCTCTGTCTTAGGATTTTCTCAAGTATTACAATAGAGCTGGGATGGATACTGCGGAGCTAGAGGTGAGGACCCCCAGATCTTCCAGGACACACCATGTGCTCCTTATCCTCCTAGTCTATCATGGGTTCCCCCAGCCCCTTGGGTGGTTTACAGCTGTCTGGTTTTTAGGGGGAGGCTGTTTGGGGTTGAGACACCGTCTGAAGAGGCAACTGGCTGAGGAGGTCTCTTTCCCAATAATGACTCTCTTCGCCCAACAATGTGCCTCCCTCACCTGTGTCCCAGCAAGCTGTGGAGGTCATGTGCTTTGTGCCCAAGCGCTGCAACGATATGATGACGCTGGGGAGATTGCGGGGATTTGAGGTACGGAGATAGGGCAAGAAACTGGAGGCCCGATGCTCTTCTGCCCCAGCGCTAGCACTCTGGAAGTCCTTATGGGGAGTTGTCTTCTCCTGGGGCTGACCCCATGGTTGGTTGGTTGGTTGAGCATGTCAGGCGAGGAAGGGAGGAGCAGAGAATTGCCCTTTTTCTTGTTCTTTTTCCAAGGCCACTATCCCTTTCGTTTTAGGGCAAACTGACTGCTCAGGGGAAGCTCTTGGGCCAGGACACTTTCTGGGTCATCGAGCCTGAGGCTGGGGGGCTGCTGTCTTCTCGAGGTCGAGAGAGGCGCGTGTTCCTCTTTGAGCAAATCATCATCTTCAGTGAAGCCCTGGGAGGAGGAGTGAGAGGTGGAACACAGCCTGGATATGTATACAAGAGCAGCATTAAGGTGAGAAGGGGGCCATGAGAGAGGGCTTGGACAGAGAAGGCATGAGGCCTCTGAGAGGATGTCTCAGAGGAGCCAGAGAGGGTCTGAGGAATCTGGGGGCTGTCTCCTATCTGCCAATTCAGGTGAGCTGCCTGGGACTGGAGGGGAACCTCCAAGGTGACCCTTGCCGCTTTGCACTGACCTCCAGAGGGCCAGAGGGTGGGATCCAGCGTTATGTCCTGCAGGCTGCAGACCCTGCTATCAGTCAGGCCTGGATCAAGCATGTGGCTCAGATCTTGGAAAGCCAACGGGACTTCCTCAACGGTGAAGCTTTCATCCTTTCTCCCTGATGGGCTCTGTCAGCCCCTTGACCTCCTGAATCCCTCCCTCACTGCCCAGTCTCCAGTACCTACCCTCTGACCATGGCCCATCCCCTTTTCTACTGCTAGCTCAAAATTTGATAGAATCCCCTAAAACCCCAAGCAATTTACATTGGCTGACAGGGAGGGAGGGCAAAGTAGGAGAATGATACAGGCCCTAGGGAAGAGACCTGTCTCTGCAGTAACCCTCCTGTTCCTCTCTTTGCTCCAGCATTGCAGTCACCCATTGAGTACCAGAGACGGGAGAGCCAGACCAACAGCCTGGGGCGGCCAGGAGGGCCTGGAGTGGGGAGCCCTGGGAGAATTCGGCTTGGAGATCAGGCCCAGGGCAGCACTCAAACACCCATCAATGGCTCTCTCCCCTCCCTGCTGCTGTCACCCAAAGGGGAGGTGGCCAGAGCCCCCTTGCCCCTGGATAAACAGGTATGATGAAGAGAGCTCCCTCATTGTAGGCATAAAAAGGGGAGAGCCTCTCTTGTTTTGGGACCCCAAGCTCGTGCCCCATATCATTCCTTTTATCTGGTCCTTCCTACTTCCCATCCCTTACCCTTCTCCCCTCTATTTTAACTCTGGAGAAGCTGATAGTCTCAGACAGTCTAAGATATCTGGCAAGAGGAGGTGGCTTGGCTAGGGACTTAAACTGAAAAGAGAGAAGTAAGGGTAGATTTCTGGCCTTTTTAATCCTCTGACTTGAATCTTTTCTTCAGGCCCTCAGTGACATCCCTCAGGCTCCCCATGACTCTCCTCCAGTCTCTCCAACTCCAAACACCCCTCCCTGCCAAGCCAGACTTGCCAAGCTGGATGAAGATGAGCTGTAACTGGTGAAAACCATGGGGGTGGTGCTGACTCAGCTGCCTATTCCCCAAGAAGCTTCAGGGCAGTCCTTCTGGCACTGCTCCAGAATTCTTCCTTCTTGGTGTGTCTGGAGGAAGGGTGGGCAAGGCTGGGAGGGATATCAACTTGGAGGAGAGCACCTAGACCCAAGGACTTTTTTCTGCCCAAGGAACACAGTTTCCTTCAGCTCCCACCCCTATGCATGCATCATGGTTCCCCCAAAAGGAGGATATGTGGGTGGGTGGGAGGGCTGGGGCAAGGGCCAGATAGAAATTATTGGTTTCGTTTTTTAATTTTGTTTTTCCTGTTTTCTGAGAATAAAGGTTTTGTTATATCACTGAGGCTGCTGTCTTGGCAGAGGGAAGGGGAGGCTGTAGTCGGGGTAGGTGGGGTGAAGTGATATGGAAGAGACCAGTTGGCCCCAGCCATTGGAGGAGGGGGTCTGGTGAAAGGCGAAGGGGACAGGGTGTAAGATAAAAGATGTTGCTATCTTTATCCCTCAACTGCAGTTGCAGCAGTTGAGGGACAAAGACTGAGGCATGGAACCACTGGAAAGCCCTAGATTCTTCTTCTTCTTTTTTTTTTTTTTGTAGAGTTAGGGTCTCATTATGTGGCTGGTCTTGAACTCCTGGGCTCAAGTGGTCCATCTGTCTTGCCCTCCCAAAGTGCTGGGATTACAGCCATGAGCCATTGCACCTGGCCAGCCCTAGATTCTTGATGTGTCATCTTTACCCAACCCTTCTTTTTCCCTACCCACCCTCTCGTCTAGACCCCACCAGAAAGCCCAATGCAGTGTGACTTCTCACCGTTCCCCCAACACCCAGATACTAAAGCACAAAATGCCAATGTACCTTTGCTTCTGAGGCTGCCATGTTCAGCTGAGGGAAGATGGGAAGGTGGAGAGGATCTTGGGGGCTGCAGCCTTTTCCTGGCACTGGGTCTCCTTATCTTTGCGAGGTCATAAGCCATGTTCATAGTGGGCAGAAGGGGATTCTTCTTCAAGCCATGGACCCAAGAAGGGACAGCCCAAGGGGATCTTCGCCCCTCCCAACTTCTGGGAGAGCTGCTGGACCAGAGCGAGCCAAACATTCACGCAGCCATGTCCAGATGCCGTCCTGGGTCCTTATGCATCTCCGAGTCCACTGTATCCGTTGGTCCCTTGGGCTCAGTCACGTGCACTTGGGTTTCCTCAACAGACAATAGATTGCTGGGGTGGGAGGGTGAGGAGGAGAGCTGGAGCCTCCCTGTGGGCCCGAGGTCCCTTTGGCCGACAATAGGGGGAGGGATTCCTAAGGGGGGGACAGGACGTAGCGCCTAGATAAGACTTCTGTGGAACAATAGGAGGAATTGAAGAGGGGAGACCCACCCTCACTGCACCCCACCCCCAGGGCTTTGGGGTCATGGACTGGGGGACCAGAGGATCATGGGGAGGGGTGCCGAAGATTCTTGCGAATGGAGGAGGGGATCGTGGCCAACAGCAGGATTCTGGAGTTAGAATCTTTGTATATGTTTAGGAACCATAGGTACACATGAGGTGGGTGACTGATTCCTTTGCACTTAGTTTAACCACATATGTGCTTTTGAATGCCTACTTTGTGAACAGCATTTGCTTTTTTTTTTTTTGAGATGGAGTCTCGCTCTGTCACCCAGGTTTGAATGCAGTGGCTCCATCTCAGCTCACTGCAACCTCCACCTCCTGGGTTCAAGCGATTATCCTGCCTCAGCCTCCCGAGTAGCTTGGGATTACAGGCACCTGCCATTATGCCCAGCTAATTTTTGTATCTTTTAGTAGAGACAGGGTTTCACCATGTTGGTCAGGCTGGTCTCAAACTCCTGACCTCAGGTGATCCACCTGCTTCAGCCTCACAAAGTGCTGAGATTACAGACATAAGCCATTGCCCCTGGCCTGTGAAAAGCATTTGAATGTGATAAATGGTGCTTCCGTTTTTTTGGTTCCTAAGAAAAAAATTTCCTGTAGGTTCAATATTTCCCCTGAGGCCCTGAACTAGGCCCAGCCGCTCCTCACAGAGGTGTGGGTCCAGGTTCTGTCATTATCCCTGTCCAATCAATACATGTGGCTGCATTCCATGTCAGTAGGACGTGAAACTGCTTCTTGGAGCCAGCTGTGCCCCATGAAGATGTGGGTCTGGGTGAAGTTCGGGATGGGTGCTGAACTTTTTGCTCTGGCTGGGAGAATGTAGTGGCTCAGGGAAGGACCCAAGAGGAACCAGCCTCTCTCTCCTCCCAAGGTGCAGATGGGGAAAGGAACCGGGAGTGAAGTGAAAAGTCTAAGGAGGGGTAAATAGCGGGTGTTGAGTGTCGGGGTGCGCTTGCCTTTCGGCTTCTCTCTAATCTCTACACATTTCCACAGCCACCCCAGAGCCAGCGATCGGATCTGGCCAAGGATGTCTGCAGAAACCCCTAACATAGAGACTCTCCCTCTCCAAGCCGCGGCTCTCGCCAGACTGGAGAAGGTCCTCAAGTGAGGGTGTCCTCAGGGCCGGATTGGACCCTGCTTCGTGGGAGGCGGGACTCAGGGCTTAGCTGGCGGAGGAGTATTTAAGACGGGGAGGAGTTGGAGGTGGCCAAGGGCAAAATGAGCGGGATTCAGGGCACCAGGACCCACCCAGGCGCGGGGGACACCTCTGACCTTAAGTACCCCTTGGGAACCAGGCTCAGGGAAGCTCTCACCGAGGCTCGGTTCCATCAGCTCTTCGGGGGCGAAGAGCAGGAACCGGAGCTACCTGCAGAGCGCCGCTTTCCCCGGCTCTTCGGGCTGTGGAGGCTGCGGGCTCGCGCTTGTTCCGGGACGGGGGCGTGGCGCCTGCTACAGGCTCGGCTGCCCCCGCTGCACTGGCTGCCCCATTACCGCTGGCGGGCCTGGCTGCTCGGAGATGCGGTGGCCGGAGTGACCGTGGGCATTGTGCACGTGCCCCAGGGTGAGAGGCCTTAACAGCAGTCTGTCTGGAGCACAAGCTCTAGAGGGCTTCCGGGAGGAGGCTTAGGGAGCTGGGAATCCAGGAGCAGATGGTGGGTTCCTGCCGCTGCGGGTAGGAGAGAGGGATATGAGGCCAAGTTTGGGGTAAGGACTGTGGAGCTCCATCAGATCCCCACCCCCACCTCCCCTCATCTGCACAATCCTGCAAGAAGCCTTGGACAGGTTCTGGCTCAGAGAACTGGAGAGAAGCACAACGTCTGGCCCCCAGGACTTGGCCACAGCGTTCCTGACCTTGTCTGCCCCATGATCGCCCACTGAGGCCCATTAGCCCCTCAGTTCCCTCATGAGGCATGATTTAGCATCCTTGATGCCAGCCCCTAAGAGTCTGGGAAGGGCGTTTAAGTCCTGGAGGTTGGACAAGGCCCCCTCCCCACGGCACACCTTTCCATCCACTTCTATCCCAGGCATGGCCTTTGCTCTCCTGGCCTCCGTGCCCCCGGTGTTTGGACTCTACACTTCTTTCTTCCCTGTCCTCATCTACAGCTTGCTGGGTACTGGGAGACACCTGTCCACAGGTGAGTGACGGGGAACTTCCAATGACTCTTCTTCCCTGTGGGATGAAAATGGACAGGGGCTGTTACTTCCCTTCTTCCTCATTTCCCTGTTCACCTCTCCCATCTTCACCTCCCTCCTTGCCCAGTCCTGCTAGGAAACTGACCTAGGCAAAGCTTGCTAGAGTGGGTGCAAAGAGGTGGGAGTTTACCTGAACTTTTTTCCCCTATGAAATTTGGTTAAAATGAACATCTCAGGGATTTGAAAGGGGAAGAATAGGTGCATGGTCCCCAAAAGGAGCGCGCAGTAGGCAGAGAATCTGCAGGAGGGAGTAGTTTTTGCCGGCTGGTGCAGCTCTTCGCGCCACAGTCTTGACCGGGCAGCAGCCTTCTTGGAGAGCGGAGTCTGGCAGCAGCATCTCGGCCCCAGGGCGTGGAGCCTGAGCTGTTGCCCTGCCCAGGGCTGCACAGCTGGTGATGTCTGTATTTGTCCCCCGGCTGCAGGAACTTTCGCCATACTCAGCCTCATGACAGGCTCGGCCGTTGAGCGGCTGGTGCCAGAACCCCTTGCGGGGAACCTGAGCGGAACCGAGAAGGAGCAGTTGGACGCTCAGCGGGTTGGGGTAGCCGCAGCCGTGGCCTTCGGGAGCGGGGCGCTGATGGTGAGGGAGGACCCGGGGAGGATCCCGGGGGATCCCTGCTGGGGGGCCCGGGAAATTGGGCAGGGGGAGAGGGAGGGACCAGCCTTCAGCTTGGGTTCGGGAGGGCGGAGGTGCGCGGGGTTGGTTTGCTCCTCCTCTAGTTGGTGACTGCACGTCTTCTCCCCCGCAGCTGGGGATGTTCGTGCTGCAACTCGGCGTCCTGTCCACCTTTTTGTCCGAGCCTGTTGTCAAGGCGCTGACCAGCGGGGTCGCGCTGCACGTGCTCGTGTCCCAGCTGCCGAGCCTCTTGGGGTTGTCCCTCCCGCGCCAGATCGGCTGCTTCTCTCTCTTCAAGGTGGGGGTGGGAGAAGAAAGGAGAAGGGGCTTCTGGAGGTCCCGGGAATAGGGAAATTCGAAAAGGGAGGAAGGACGGAGGGTGGAGGGGTAGTGTGTGACAAGGGCGCAGGAAAGGAAATTGGAGCCACGTGGCTGACCGAGGGCGCTGCGGAGGTAGAAGCCCTGGTGGCACTGGAGAGAGAGGGCCTCGCTCTGGGGGGCCCGCGCCGGGGCGCATGAACCCTGGCAAGGGGCCCTCTGCTCACAGCCCCTGCCCGCAGACGCTGGCCGCCGTGCTGACTGCGCTGCCCCGGAGCAGTCCGGCCGAACTGACCATCTCGGCGCTCAGCCTGGCGCTGCTCGTGCCGGTCAAGGAATTGAACGTGAGATTCCGAGACCGGTTACCCACGCCGATCCCGGGGGAAGTCGTCATGGTGAGGACGGCCGTGCGCGTCGGTCCCCTGCCCGCACAGACCCTGCTGTCCTGTGGGAAGTGGCCGCTGCCGCCCCCTGGTGGAGTGCAGAGAGGCCACGGAACAGAGGGCCAGCGCACACTCACTTTCCCTGGCCTCCTGCAGGAGGATGCTTTGACCTTCCACAGTCCCCCTCGACACTGTCCCACGTCTCTCACGGAGCACCCCTACACCTCTTGGAGTTCCTTCTACCATCCTACAGCGCTCCCTTGAGGTCTTGCTGGTCACAGCACCTTCTCTGACACCTGTCCTCACCAGGGTCCTTCCCTGTAATTCACAGTGCATCTTTCTCTCCACCCTCCACTGACATTTCTCTCTCTACCCCGCTAAATAAACGTTCTGCGTCTCCACAGATGCCAGTATATCACTAGATATCGTCCAGCTTCCCTCTTTGGAAGGCTCAGTGGCATATCTTCATATCCACCATCTTTGGTGGCTCCAGCGCTCTGTGGCCTCAGGCATATGTCATCCCTCTTTCCCAGCTCCACACTCCAAATCAGTTGTCAGGCCCCCATCCCAAACACATCCCTGCTCCCCCAGGTGCTGGGCTCCTGCAACCAGCTAGACCTGCATTATGGTCCTCTCTCATGGTCAGCCCCTTCTAGCTTCTGCCAGGGACCCCATCTCTTCCCATGCCTTCATTTTGCTCTCTTTCTCAGGTGCTTCTGGCCTCCGTGCTCTGCTTCACCTCTTCTCTGGACACAAGATACCATGTCCAGATAGTGGGGCTGTTGCCTGGAGGGTAAGACAGAATGAAAAGACGCCGGCTTTCTCTTCTCCCACCTCTCCCACCTAACACTTCTTCTTATCTCCACCCCCCATTTTCTTTGCGTTCCTTATCTCACTGAAGCACCCAACTCCTCCTCACCATGGATCCCTCCCTCTCCAGATTTCCCCAACCCCTCCTCCCCAACCTGGCTGAGCTGCCCAGGATTCTGGCTGACTCGCTGCCCATCGCACTGGTTACTTTTGCGGTGTCTGCCTCCCTGGCCTCCATCTATGCAGACAAGTATAGCTACACTATTGACTCCAACCAGGTGGGACTCTGACTGTGGACCCCAACCCTCTCATTTGACTTCCCACCATGCCTTTGTCTCTCTCACTTCATCTCACTGCATCCCTCCAGGAGCTCCTGGCACATGGTGCCTCCAACCTCATCTCCTCCCTCTTCTCTTGCTTTCCCAACTCGGCTACGCTGGCCACCACCAGTCTACTGGTGGATGCTGGTGGGAAAACACAGGTAAGAGGGCATTCTTGGATGAGGAGAAAGGATGGGCCATCCAGGCAAAGTGGTGGTGCTGGAGAAACAGGTGGAAGATGGTTAGATACCCAGGTGGCACCTATATAGAGAAGACTGGGATCTGTGAGAAAGGGTGAGCAAGGGGATGGAATTATAGGAGAGATGGAAGATAACAATGTTCCAGTAAGACCTTTGTAGGCTCTAAGCACTGAAAAAGTTTATGGTGCCCCAGATATGGTTCAAAATAAAAACACAAAACTATAAAATAAACTTGAGATAAAATTATTTTTTTCACACAATGACATTGTCTTTTTAAAAGGAATGTCACATATCAAAGTCTCCCCCTAATATTTTTGGTTTCCCTTACTTTGCTGGTGCCCTAAGCACGTGGTGAGCCTGCTTATAGGGTAACCCAACAGTGGCTTTTAAGGTGGAGGTGGGCTGCAAAACTGGGGAACTTGAACAACAGACATCTACAGGGAGACTGGTGAATAATGGGCATTTAATTAATTGGGGGGAGGGGAGGGTTAGATGTGAACGGCAGAATATTAAGAAGGGGGATGTGTGGAAGGAGATTTGGGAGAAGGGAGACTTCCGAGGAAGATAAGGCAGAGTGGGCAGGGAGACCAGCTCTCATGTGGGGGTGGGAGACTCCCTTCCTTTTTTTGCACCCATCCCTCCTTCCCTCTAGCTGGCAGGCCTCTTCTCCTGCATAGTGGTCCTGTCGGTGCTGCTGTGGCTGGGGCCCTTCTTTTACTATCTGCCCAAGGTAAGGAGCAGAGGAGGCATGAGCATGGCTGGGAGGGGTGGCTGTATTCCAGGACATCGAGGTAGTCAGCCCACCTCCTCTGCCTCAAGGCTGTCCTGGCTTGCATCAACATCTCCAGCATGCGGCAGATGTTCTTCCAGATGCAGGAACTTCCACAACTATGGCACATCAGTCGTGTGGACTTTGTGAGAAATGCCATTACCCCCAGATGGCCCCCTCCCATCTTCTTAGCATCCCCAGCCTCTGCCCTGAACCAAAGCTAACTGTCCTGGTCCTAAGTTCTGCAACCCACCCACTCCCCCAACAAATGTAACTCCTAATACGCTTTACTCACAGACAAGGGAAAGGATGGGGTTTGAACCCCTTGGACCTGAATATTTGTAACTTCCCAACTGGTGCAGGTCATTACATTTGGTGTGTGTCCCATTGAATCAACCTGTTCTTTCCCTCTGTCATGCTTTCTGCTTCTTCCTGGGTCATCTCTCCCCATCACTTGCCTTGGTAATCACTGCCCTGGATCTCTTTCCCCAGCAGTGATGGCCTGCCTTTTCTTTTGGGCAATCCACCCTTATCCCTGTCCTGCAGGCTGTGTGGATGGTCACTTGGGTGGCTGTAGTGACCCTGAATGTGGATTTGGGCCTGGCTGTGGGTGTTGTCTTCTCCATGATGACTGTGGTCTGCCGCACCCAGAGGTGGGCATAGAGATGAGTGGAGTTGAGGTCAGGGCAGGGGAGAGAATGAGGTGCTTGGGGTGACTCTCCAGCCAGGCCAGGCTAAGCTGGAAATCTGGCCCCACCTTCTTCCCTAGGGTGCAGTGCCTGGCACTTGGACAGGCTGAGGGAACAGAGCTCTACAGGCCACTCAGAGGAAGCCACAAGGTGGGTGGGCTGCAGCCAAAGCAGGAAAGGAAGATTAGCCCCAGATGTTTCTCTGACCCTCTGACCTCTTAGCTCCTCCAGGTCCCAGGGCTCTGCATCCTGAGCTATCCAACACCACTGTACTTTGGGACCCGTGGGCAGTTTCGCCGCAACCTGGAGTGGCACCTGGGGCTTGGAGAAGGAGAAAAGGTGAGGGAGCTTGGTTTAGGAGGGATGTGGATCCTCGGGGAGTGGGAGGCAGGTGGGCGTTCTGAGGGGGATCCTTGTGCTCAAGGGGTGCATGTTCATGCTGTGTCTCAGTTGTGGTGACTGCCCTTCTTTACTCATAGGAGACTTCAAAGCCAGATGGCCCAACTGTTGCAGGTAAGATGGGGTGACAAGAAGGAAGATTTGGGCATGTTGCATGGTGGCACTTGGGTACTCCTGTCTTCTCCCATTCTAGTTGCTGAGCCTGTCAGGGTGGTGGTCCTAGACTTCAGTGGTGTCACCTTTGCAGATGCTGCTGGGGCCAGAGAAGTGGTGCAGGTGAGGGAGAGGGCAGGTTGAGGAGAAATCCCTTAGCATGTCACTCATACCCTCTGATCTTAACCCCTTTGCCCCATCCCTGCAGCTGGCCAGCCGATGTCGAGATGCTAGGATCCACCTCCTCCTGGCTCAGTGTAATGGTGAGATGTGTGAAGAGCGGGACCCAGTGTCTGGGCAATGACTGGACACCTGTGGGAGGGAAAAGGACCCGGTGTGGACTGAGGGTCTCAGAGCCTGACACCCTCCCCACATAGCCTCGGTGCTGGGGACACTGACTCGGGCAGGACTCCTGGACAGGGTGACCCCAGATCAGCTGTTTGTGAGTGTGCAGGATGCAGCTGCTTATGCCCTGGGGAGCCTGGTAAGGGGCAGTAGCACCAGGAGCGAGAGCCGGGAGGCACTGGGCTGCGGCAAGTGAGGCAGGGGTAAGTGGCTGGAGACTCAGGGAGAGGGGTTTGGGAAAGGGTCTGCGGAGGAAGATCAAGAAGAAAAGGGTGGGGATGGAATGAATAGTGGATTGAAGACCAACTCAGGGAGCCCAGGCTGAGCTATGGGTGAGGAACTGAAGAACTCAGATCCCTAAGCAGGTGGGGTACCCCTGAGAGGACTGCCACATTTCATCAAGGGAGAGGGTGCCTAACCTATTCCTGACACGTCTCCTCTCGTCTCCAGGAGCTCACTGACCCAAAGATTTGCACAGTGTGGGTCTGACCTCATCATGTGGAGTGCAGAGGGCCCCGATGACATGTGTGTGATGAGGACCATGACCTTGAGCTCCCTTACCTAACGTAACTAATAAAATGAAGCTGAGAGCTTTGGAATCCATGAAGCGAGTCTAGGTGTTTGCACAGGGACTCTGGTGCTCCGTCTTTTGTGCCCACAGCATTGCAGAGACACAACTAAGAATGGCTTTCACCATGTGTTCACCGGCCCTCACCCCAGCCCCAGTGCCGCAAGTTATCTTTGTAGGGGTGGGGCTGGAGCAGGTACACAGAGTACTGGATCTGAAGATGCGGGTGAGGGGTACAGTCTTGGGATTATGTGTTGGGGAACTTCCCCACCCCCTCAGTCCCAAGAAGATGAGAGGACAGTGTTTCCACCTTAGGTTCTTAGAGTCCCCCTGGGCTCTTTGGCACTTGGAAAGTGATCCCCCCATTTCCTGCCCCATGAGAATGGGGAGGGGGAGGACTTGGCACTGGCTGTGGGAGAGGTTATGGCTCCACCAGGCCTCTGGGCACTCGAAAAAGGAGGGGTGTCACCAGGACAACCCCTGTTGGGCATAAGGTTCTGAAAAGGAAGAGTGAGGAACTAGAGGCTCAGGGACTGCCAGTAGAGTGCTCACAGGGTGGGTGGGGTTTGTTGGAAATTCCTGGCAGGGACAAGGAGGCAGGCCCAGCCTGAGAGTCAGAAATCCCCTGTGGGCCATCACTGGGAGGTCATGCACTGCAGCCGGTGTTTGAAGAAGAGCAGCCGGTGTTTGGCCATCTGGCTCTCATCCAGTGATCCTGGATAACGGTACCGGGCGTAAGTCTCTGCCCCGGCATCCCTTGATGTCCAAGGCAGCTTCAATTTGGATGCATGATCCACCACGACGTCGGAGCAGGAGCCAACCCGAAGGGAACCAAGCCCATCCAAGAAGAATTCTGGGGGTGGAGGGGAGTACACAGTGAGGGATCCCAAGGGTGCAGAACGCCGACCGGTAAGGGAGAACTCTCAAATTTAGGGTGTGGAAAGTGTGTGTGCAAAGGCTTGTTTCTAAGGACCTTGAGCAAGTAAATCAACTCCCTGGGTCTCAGTTTTACTCTTGTGTAAATGGAGTCAATATACTTGTGCTTTGAAAATGGAAAAACCTACCCCTACTCCCAGAGGTTAAATAAACGCCAGATGGGTTGCACCGACTATGGTCTGAACTAGGGGAAGCGCTGGGAGTAGAGTAGGGGTGGCGGGAACAGTGACGGGGAAGCTTACGCGGGCGGGGAGGAGGGGCCCAGCGGTTGTGCTGGGAATAGAGATTTAAAGGGTATGCGGGGCTGGGAGAGGGTGGGAGCTCTGTCTGTCGTCCAGGTGCAGGTCTTGGTAAATCATTGCAGAACTGTTCTAGGGTTCCCGGTGGCGGCTGGGCGCGGGTGCAGCCTAGGAGAGGCGGGTGCGCCAGCTCCCTGTGGGGTTCCTGCCAGGGTCGACCGGGAGGGGGCGCCACTCACCCAGATGAGCCACGCGGCTGAGGCGGGGGTCGAAGCCGACCTCGCGCACCTTGTCAGTCCGCGCCAGGAAGAAGTTAACCACGCCGTCGGTGACCACGCAGCCTGGGAAGCCGACGAGCTCGTGGTGGAAGCCGCGCCTTTGCCGGAGGCAGTTCCCGAGGCCTGGGGCGCCGGGCTCCACGCTCAGCAGCTGCCGGTAAGTGGTGGCGAAGCCGGAGATCTCGCGCACCGCGCCCCCCACCTGCAGGGAGAGGGAGGCTGGCTCCAGGCAGCCGGGGATCGGGCACCCGAAGGGGGCAAGGTCTGCGCTCCGGTGCCTTCGGGGGTACCCCTGCCCCATCCTCTTCCGCTTCACCCTTGCAAGACCCAGACAGTCCCCAGGCCCCACTTCGTGGTCCTCTCTCTGTCCCAGGGCTCGCCGTTCCTGGCCGCAGCGTCCCCACTGTGGCCTTAGCCTGTTCAAGGCCCTTCTCCACCCCCACATCCTACGGCCCCTGCCCTACCAGGTCCAGGGGCGTCCGCTCCAGCACGTCCACAAGCCTCTCCAGCCGCGTCCGCGCGGTGAAGACGAAGTCGTCGTCTACCCACAGCACGTACTTGGTGGTTACTTGGGACACAGCCAAGTTCCGGCCTGCGAACCAGCCCTGGCGGAAAGGTGTGTGTGGTTGGGGAGGCTGCAGAAATAGGACATGGCCCTCTGCCACCTTTCTTTCTCTCCCCCGACCCTTCTCAGCTTGTATTCTTCTCCAGACTTTTGAGTGCTTTCGAATGGCCAGAAGCTAGGTAAAAAGAAATGCAGATCCCCCACAGAGGTTCCAAGTCAGTGGTCTCGGAATGCGTTTAATTTCTGTGTGCATTTATTTATTCATTCATCAGCTATTTTATTGAATGCCATTATGCACTAAGCACCATTCTAAGAATGCAGAGAGAATTTCCTGCTCCCACGAAGCTTACATTCCAGGAAGCCTCATGCTTAACAGGCACCCCATGATTCTGAGGCAGGTGGTCCTCGAATCACTACCCTGGAGGCTGCAGATTGAGGGCGCACCCACTGCGGGAGTCCTCTGGCCTGCCGTTCAGCCTGCTAGCTGCACACCTTGCCGAAGGGCATGAGATAGTGTTCCACGTAGGGGCCACTAACGCGCTCTGGCTTGTCACTGTCGTCGGCGATGACCACGGTAACCGTTGGGTAGAAGCGGCGGATACTGGTGATGAGAGCCCGTAGCCGATCATAACGGAGGAAGGTCTTGGTGGCAATCGTGACTAGAGCGCTGATGTTGTACTGGGCTGAGATTGAGGGCACAGGGTTGGGTGCAGACAAGGCGAGTTGGGAGAGGGGAACAGGTAGATATCCCCTCCCAGGACTGCCCTCTCTCTACTTGCTCCCCACCAATGCTGGATCTAGTATGTCCCTGCCCCTACCAGCCTCACCTCCCTGGGGTAGAGACCCAGGTGGGTACAGCCGAGGGTTGGGTGGGTGTCTTATGCGGATGGTGAAAGCAGCCTCATGTCCCTCGGTGGAGAACCGGACTGGGAAGAAAGGACATGGCGTTTGACCCTGAAGGGTGGGGCAACATTCTGTTTTCAGCCAATCAATATTTAAGTGCCTACTCTGTGTCCCACCTTTCTAGGCCTTGGTGGAAAAAAACACAAGGTTCATACCTTCATGGAACTTACATTCTAATGGGTAGGAGAAAAACAATAAAGAAAATTTTAAGTAAAAGCTAACCTTTATTGAGCACTTACTATGTGCCAGACCTGTTAAAAAATTACCTTAAATATATGAACTCATTTTATCCTCATGATAGCCCTATTAAGTAGATTCCTACAACAGAAAAAGAAGCTGAGACACAGAAAAGTAACTTGCCACATTTACACAACTATTAAGCAACAAAACTGATAGCAACCTAGTCAGTCTGGTGCCAGACTAAGTAAATTAAAAAATTCAGATACTGGTAAGTATTGAATGGAAAATAAGACAAATAAGTAATGTAATAGTGAAGAGGAGACATTTGAGCTGAGATCTAAACGACAAGAAGGAGCCAGTCTGCAAAAATCTGGGGAAGAGCATTCCCGGCTGAGAAAACCGCAAGTGCAAAGGCCCTAAGGTCGAAGCAAACTTAGTGCAACAAATCAGCTTTGGGGAGAAGCAGGAGGGCTCTTAGGCCCCTTTTGCTGGAAGAGAAATGGGAACTCAGGAAAGTAAAGGGCTTTGTCCTCCAGTAAGGGGTGGGTTGGAAATACAGTCTTCTAACTCCTTAGACACGTCTCTTCCTGGGGCCCCCATGGTTGGCCTAAAGGGGAGACACACCCAAAGCTCGGGTTTCCCTCTGGCCTGCTCCAGCCCCAGATGAACAAAGGCCCCTTTTCTCCCTCTCTGGCCCTGCTGGTCCAGTTGAAGCACTCATTGTGTGGCAGGACAGCTCTGGCCATAGACCAGATGCCTCCCATGCCCTCTGCCATTTGCCCACTCCAGCCTTTCTGGTTCTTCTCTGTTTGCCCAGCCTGCCCCTCTCCCCACCCAGGCCTCGCACCTGTGTCTGCTGTGTTGGTCTGGTAGCTTCGGCTGCTGTAAGTGACCAGTTGTAGTTGCCTGTTGAGTTGGTCCAGCCCTGGGCTGACAAGGGTGAGATCTGCCTGCCCCTCTCCAATGAGAGTCACTCCAGTCACTTCCCCTGCCACGTCCCAGGTGCCTAGGGAGGCAGTCAGGTTTACCTAGGAGGGGATTGGAGAGTGCAGGGTTAGGCCTCAGACCCACTTCTTGCCTTCCTGATTCGTCCATCCTTCCCTTAGTAGCCCTGCCTCCTTCTCAGCATTCTTGATGCCTACTTGGCCTCCTTGCCTTCCTGTTTTCTCTCACCTGGTATACCTCCTGACCAGAAGCTGCCTGAAGGCTCAGCCCTAGGAGAAAGGAAGCGGGGATCAGAATCACGTAGGCAGCCGTGAATTCTTTCTCATTTTCTCTCCCTGCTGTCACCACACACAATAGAGAACTTTCCACCCATTCTTCTTATTGAGGCCTCAGCAGGGCACACTGTAACATAGCCTACAGTGACTGATTTTTGAGCCCTTCCCATCAAAGCTTGCCCTATGGCCTGCCCTGCCCACCACCTAACCAATGGTTAGTCAGAAAAGAATAGATTCTTTCCCCCAAAACTCCCCAGTTACAGTCTTCTGAAATTCCTAGAGTCCCTTCCGTCCTCACCTCCTACCTCCTAAGCCCCCTTTTGAGCTTAAGTCCCTCTTTCATCAGAGGTTCCCACCTCCCATTCCAATCATCTCCCATTCTTCCCCACCCAGCCTCGGGCTCTGCCACCCCCACTGTGGCTGAGGTCATCCTCTGGGACCCTCCTCCCTACCTGGCACCAAGATGCTCCTGAGGGGCTGAACTTCCACACCTTGTAGGGGGTACTGGAGCGGGGAGTTGGCAGGGGCTATGAGCAGTTGGTCAGCTGGGGACTGGCTCCTGGCAGTGGAGGAAGGAGAGGATAGAGCAGAGTCAGGGGGAGAGGGTCTCTCCCTTCTGGCACAATCACTGCTCTCCCCCTGTGGAGTCATGCCCTTCTTTCAAGCTGGTACCTTGACAGAAAGGCCTGGAACTCCTGCTCTCTTGTGGCAGAGGCAGCGCTCAGCTCTGCAGGGTCAAAGGCCTTGGTGAGGTCAATGGCTCGGACTTGTTTCTGGAAGGGGAGGGGGAGGCCCCCCCCACTGGACTCACAACTGCAGTTGTTCCAAGCCAGCAGCCTGAAGGGAGTAGTAAGGGTCATCAGACCCAGCTACACAGCTCCATTCATCCCATAAACACTGACACAGCACCCCACACCTTGGCCCTGAAATTCTGTCCATCTAGGATCCATCCCCTTAGACGTTGCCCTTCAAATAGTACTCGGGAGGGGGACCAAGGATCGGACGACCTAGCCCCTAAATCTGGATTTTAGAGTTGTAGGACAGGGCCAATTACTAGGATTTCAGGAGCTGCCTACCCACCAACCAGCAGCCCACCTGGAGTCTCTTCTCATACCTGAATCAGGACCTCAGGGAGTCTTTCAGGGCCCTCCCTTAACTGCACAACCTCCCACGCCCATCCCCATCCTCATCCCCATGGCAAGGTTCAGGGAGAACAGATTTTCCCCAGCCCAAGCCTCAGCAGCCTCCCACTTCCACCTCCCACTTCACTCCACACAACCCGTTAGGAGAACGCAGGCATCTGAGCCCAGCAGTGGAGGAAACAAAAGCCCCCAGACCACCCCCAGCGAGCGCCGCGCTGCGCCGCCGCGGTCGGCACTCACCTCACTACTTGCTCCTTGATCCTGACCGGGATGTGTGCGTAGCGGGGCTCAGGAGCAAGATCTGGCAGCTCGGGCCTGCGGGGGCTCTGCGGGGGCGCCCACGGCGCAAGAGGTGCCCGGAGGCCGGGCGCGTCCCGGGTGCTCGCGTACAGGAGCCCCAGCGAGGCGCAGGCGACCAGAAGGACCAGCGCGCACAGGGCCCGGCGGCCCAGCCACATCCTAGGTGGGGGTAGGGTGGGGAGTGAGAAAGGGAGGGAAGAAGGGAGGGCAAGGGATGGGGCCCTTGGCCCCCGCGTCCTCAGAGGCTCCTGCCGGCTCCCAAGAGCGCTCTCCACTCCACACATCGCGCTAAGATTTGCACTGCCAGCCGCGGTTTTCCCGGTGCCCCTCCCCTCACTTCTCAGGCCCCAGGGTCTCCCGGCCTCCTTTCTTCTCGCCCTCTCCCGCATCTCGGTTTCCTCTCACACCCGAGGCCTGGCATCTTAATGCTGAAGACATTTGGATGCCGCGGTTTCGACGCGGCCGTGCGTGAGCTTTGGAAAAGCCCCGCTCTATTAGGGCAGTGGCAGTCCCGAAGCCCGCAGCCCGCCCTGGCCGGCGCGCCCCCTACTCCTCAATCCGAGCATCACCTGGGCTGGGGTGGGCTGCGGAGGGCGGCTCCACACCTAGCCTGTCAGGAAAAAATGCAGAATCACGCCCGTGCTGGCGGGCGCCCCCGGCGGAGGTGACCCGATGAGTGGCCTCGGGAAGCGGCGCGGGGAACAGGGTGGACCGGGAAGCGCGCCTCCTCCCGCCTCCTGCTCCGCCCCTCATCCCCCCGCCTCGGGCACTGACCTGTCTAACGCTCTAAGGCAGCGGCAAAATTTCGGTCAGGGCTGTGCCGGCTTTCAGCCCCCGTCTGAGGGTCCTCATGGGGCTAGGGGCTGATCGATGGGAGAGCTGGGCGTGAGCCTGAGGGTGTGGGGGACCCTCCTGCCTCTGGAGCGCGCCCGACCCCTCCCGCCTTGGAACTCTCGGGGCTTTTGTGGAGCGCGGCTCGGTGGTGGTTCTGGGCGTTTCCTGCCCGGGGGCGGTTGGCGGGGCGCGAGGACCAAGTTAAGAATCCGTTGCACCCCAGCCCCGGGGGCAAAGCCGGGGATCCCTGGCTCCGTGTCCCACTGGCAGCGCGGGGAGGGCTCTGGCCGCCTCCCGGCTCTTCGCACCGCAGCGCCGCGCGGTTCGGCTCCGGGCTGATTGCGGCTGCTTCGGCTTCGCGCGGGGAATGCGAGCGCCCCGGCGCCTTCTAGTGGGCGCGGAGGAAACTGCGGGGGCGGGGAGCAGACGCGGGAAGGTCCTCGCTCACAACCCCCAGCCCTTAGCCTCCAAACCCTGGCATCTCAACCGCCTGCTCCCAAGACCAGCCATTCCGTTGCCTGCTCGTTCTGAGCTTGTAGGCGAGGATGGGCAAATAAGGGCTTTGGGAGGAGGTAGGGCGGGGGCGCGCTAAAACCCACGTCAAGTTTGAATGTTAGGGTGAAGATAAAAGAAACAACCCCTGGAAAATAAACGCTCTGCCTGGCTAACAAAGACTGATGCACAGCCTCCCTCTCCCCCTCCTCCCCCGCCCTGCCCCCCTTTATTTAACAGACACTCAAGAGATACACACTGGGTAATTCAAAGGCCTATTTCCCCGAACTGCCGCTTGGTGCAACCTTGCAGGAGGAAGGGAACCCCAGAGAGGCCAGATTGGCGGTAGTTCTGCCTGGAAGCCTTAGGTCATAGACAGCTTGATACTTCACACTGCTGAGAATCAGAGTTCTGTGGCTCCATGGTTCTAATAAAAGATGCATCAAGATTCAATAGGAAAAAAGGACATAATAAGAAATATAGAACATTATGAAAATATGTGTGTGTGTGGTGGATTTTTGAATGAATGAATTTTATACAAATAAATGACTAAAATCAGCTGGGGGAAAAGTGGAATCTCTACCCTTCTTACACCAAAATTCCAAATCTATTAAATATTTTAATATTAAAGGTGAAATCATAAAAGTAGTGAAGAAATCATGAAAGTCAGCACAGTGGCTCATGCTTGTAATCCCAGCACTTTGGGAGGCTGAGGCGACAGGAGACCAGGAGTTCAAGACCAGCCTGGGCAACATGGTGAGACCCCTGTCTCTACAAAAAATTTAAAAATTAGCTCAGCAAGGTGGCTCACACCTGTAGTCCAACTACTCAGGAGGTGGAAGTGGGAAGCTTGCTTGAGCCCCGGAAGTTGAAGCTGCAGTGAGCTGAGATGGTGCCATGGCACTGTAGCCTGGGTGACAGAGCAAGACGGTGTCTCAAAAAAAGAAATTATGGAATTTTTGTTTTGTTTATGGTCTTGGAGTTGGGAAGAGATCTCTAAGCCAGATGTAAAGGGAAATATTAATAAATCTGACTATATGAAAAACGTGAGTGAAGAAATTAACATAAACTAAATTTGAGAGAGAAATGACAAACTGTGAAAAAAATATTTGTAACATGTAAGACAGGTATACTTTATCTAGTTGTTGCTAGTTGGTGCCCCCAGCGGAGATGACCAGGAATGAATTATGAACCATTGAAAACATAGGAATCCATGACTCCACCCTGATAATACATAGATAATTAATTAATTAAATGAATGAATGAAGGAGAAGGGATAATGCCAATTAATAAATGTGGAGGGAGCTGATGGAGTCAGAAAATAACTATTTTGCATCAGAGTAAAAGTTGGTTTGGGCAAGAATTATCGATGAATGCTAATTCTAGGGGGAAAGTTTGACAGAAGCAGGGTATGTACATAGATTAAAGTATCTCCCCATAGTTGGCTTATTCGTTGCAAGAGGAAAAATTGTAACTGCACAGTGGGAAAACCAGACTGCACCTTGACTTGGTGGCCAAAATTAACATCACCAATGAGGGACAGAAGACTATCATGTGCCTCCAGAAATGCTCCCTTGAGAAAGCATGACATCATTTACGTAGTGATCTGGCTGGGAATACATAACTTGATTTTAAATACAAAGAAACAGACTCCAAGTAAGGAATATTTTCTATGTATAAAAGAAACTTAGGCTGGGCACGGTGGCTCATGCCTGTAACCCTAGCATTCTGGGAGGCCGAGGTGGGTAGATCACTTGAGGTCAGGAGTTAGAGACCAGTCCGGCCAACATGGTGAAACTCTGTTTCTACCAAAAATACAAAAATTAGCCAGGCACAGTGGTGCGTGCCTGTAATCCCAGCTACTCTGGAGGCTGAGGCAGGAGAATGGCTTGAACCCTGGAACCCAGAGATGGACGTTGCAGTGAGCCAAGATTGCACCACTGCACTTCAGCCTGGGTGACAGAGTGAGACCCTGTCACAAGGAAAAAAAAAGTAAAAGAAACTTAATACAAAAATTAACTGGGCACAAGCCGGGCATGGTGGCTCACACCTGTAGTCCCAGCTACTTGGGAGGCTGAGGCATGAGCATCACTGGAACTTGGGAGGCAAAGGTTGCAGGGAGCCAAGATTTCGCCACTGCACTCCAGTCTGGGTGACAGACTGAGACTCTGTCTCAAAAAAAAAAAAAAAAGTAAGTGGCTAGTGTTTTTTTAAATGTCAGTCTTGAAAGACAAAGAATGAAGAACTGCTCTGGATTAAAGGAGACTAAAGAGACATGACGACTCAATGCAATATGCAATCCTAGATTGAAAGTGATATAACAGACATTTTGGGGGACTGTTTAAAAAATTTGGGCCAGGTGAGGTGGTTCATCCCCGTAATCTCAGCACTTTGGGAGGCCAAAGTAGGAGGATTGCTTGAGACCAGGCCTTTGAGACCAGCCTGGGCAATATAATGAGATTTCATCTCTACAGAAATTTATTTTTATTTTTATTTTTTGTAGAAATGGAGTCTTGCTATACTGCCCAGGTTGGTCTCCAACTTCTAGCCTCAAGCAATCCTTCTGCCTGGGCCTCCTAAAGTTTTGGGATCACAGGTGTTAGCCACCTAGCTGGGCTACAAAAACATAAAAAAAAAAATTAGCCGGGTGTGGTGGCACGTGGCTGTAGTACCAGCTACTCATGAGGCTGAGGTGGGAGGATTGCTTGAGCCCAGGAGTTTGAGACTGCAGTGAGCTGTGATTGCACCACTGCACTCCAGTTTGGGTAACAGAGCAAGAACCTATCTTTTCTGTTTTCTAAAAAAACAAATTGGAATATGGAAAGTTGATTAGATAAAAGTTGTTTTATCTTTGTTAAAAGATAAATGGCAAATATTAAATTTCCCAAAGCTGATAACTGTGGGTATACAATAAAATATCCCTGTTCTTAGAGTATATGACCTAAAGTGTTAAAGGGTAAAGTGGAAGGATGTCTGTAATCTACTCTCAAATTGTTCAGAAAAAATAAATAATAGGAATATGTATGTGACACATTTACATAATATATATGTGGTATATATAATGTATAATTTATATTTTATTGTTAATTTAATAATTATTACATTATTTTATTATAAATTATATAAAATTATGTATAGAGAGAAAATGATAAAATGTGACCAAATGTGAAAAATTGGTGAAGCTGAATAAATGATATGTGGGAGTGCTCTGTATTCTTTAAATATCTAAGTTTGAAATTATTTCAAATTAAAAACTAAAAAGAAAAAAATCACTCCTTTATTTACTTTAGTTGAAAGCGAGTGTTGGCCGGGTGCGGTGGCTTACGCCTATGATCTCAGTGCTTTGAGAGGCAGAGGCGGGCGGATCATCTGAGCTCAGGAGTTCGAGACCAGCCTGGCCAACATGGTGAAGCCCAGTCTCTACTAAAAATACAAAAATTAGCTGGCCATGGTGGCGGGCGCGTGTAATCCCAGCTACTCCAGAGGCTGAGGCAGGAGAACGGCTTGAACCCAGGAGGTGGAGGTTGCAGTGAGCCGAGATCATGCCATTGCACTCCAGCCTGGGTGACAAGAGTGAGACTCCATCTTGAAAACAAACAAACAAGAAAGTGAGTGTCTATTTAATAATTTGGTGACATTACTGAGAAATTGTTTTAGCACATAACTGTCACACTTTCTAAAAATGACAACTAAAGTTTTTTCATAATGAAATATTAATAATAAAACTTTCTTTTTTTTTTTTTTTAGACTCATCAAAACATTTGCTTTCAACGTTATTAACCAAAAGAAACCTGTAAATTATTTGCCGATACTTTCTATTTTTAGCACATTAACAGAAACATTCACTATAGGAATGAGATCCTATGATCTAAAACAATAATAACAAAATAGACTAAACCAGGAGGGGGAATTGGGAGCTATAAGGGAACATTCACTACCCAAGCTAGAAAAGTTACTCATATTAATCAAAGACACTACACTACACCAAGCAGGGGG